TGGCTTTGTTCTTAAAAATATTTTTCACTAGTAGCCCGTTTGAGCCTTAAGCATTTTTCTTGTCGACCGGTTTATCTTATTTATTCTGAGAGTTGACTATCGTTTGGGATATATGGGGATTAACGAAGTTATTTATTGGATATGGAATGAGGTGTGTTTGAATTGCAATTACGATGCTTGACCAAAAGAAAAAAATAATAATAATAAAGGGAGCTCGCAAGTCGAATTGTCGGGATTCTACTTCTCTTACTAATTGATTTATTTTGATGGGTAATGAGTAATGGGAAACTACTCTAGAACACTTGGATGACCTCTAATGTTTATATCTAGAGAATGTTGTCTTTACAGTTTGATCTTGTTTGGAAAAGTTGAACTCTCTAAAACGAAAAAAAAGGTCTAGTACTTCATTTGCAATTTGATGTGAGCACTTATGAGTTGTGTATAAATTATTTGGTTTGGGGATGAGAAACGTTTTATGTTGATTTGAGAGAAATAGTGGAGTAGTCGAGTAGTCTATTTACTCGAATGGTATGATTGTTTATTTGAGCCACTTCATATATATATAGGGATTGGTTCCAATGCATCCACTTATTTAAAGTGAGGACGTGAGACTCATTTTTAGCGACAAGATTTGGTACATCATGTGTGATCAAGATTTACTCTTTTCTTTTTATTATTTTAATTATTTAAATATTATTTTGACCCGTTGACTTCAAGCGAACTAACCTTTCAACTAGGTTAGTTCTCTGTAGTTGCTAGGTTAGTTCTCTGTAGTTGCTAAGTTAGTTATCTGTTGTTGCTCGGTTAGTAGTAGCTAGGTTAGTTTTTTGTAGTTGCTAGGTTAGTTCTCTGTGGTTGCTAAGAGCTGGCCGCATTTGATCCGCCCCCGTATATATATATGTATATATATGTATATATCTATATCTTATCTTTGACCAAATAGCCTACGTTATGACCCGAAAAGTATGATTTGAAACTCATGATTATTAGTTGTGTTTGAAGTAGAGTTTTAGATGATTGACAAACATATAGTTAACCAGGTGTTTAATTTGACTTGAGCGAATCCTTCTCTTATATATTGATGACATATGAGTGAGGCGCTTATATTTTTCCTACGTTGATTCAATGTAGATATACAATATAGAAGTCAAGGCATGATAATTATAACCGTTTGAATTTTTCTTGGTTGCATTGAATGACTTTTTCTAGTTTGATATCACTCATTATGCTTGAGCTTTGATTTCTTATTCTTGTTCGGGGACGAACAAGGGTTTAAGTTTGGGGGAGTTGACATTCATCATATTTTCATGCATTATGAGTGATAGATTGTGACATTTGGCCGTGTTTATCGTTTGATTGTGCACCATTCTGTTTTATTTATTAATCTATGATAGATGTGTATCTTTGTCGTTAGTTTTGCAGGAAATATGCCCGAAAAAGCGTTAGAAATGGAGTCGGGACGAAAAACCCGTAGCAAAAAATATGAGCAGTTTCTGGTCTGAGTTTTTTAAAATGCAAGGCACGGAGTTGGCCATGAGTTCGGCCTATCACCCGCAAATCGACGGCCAAACCCAAGTGACGAACCGAACGTTAGAGCAATATCTACGGTGCTATGTTCATCAATTTCCGAAGAAGTGGAAAGATTTCTTACCTTGGGCCGAGTATTGGTTTAACACAACTTACCATAGCCATGCCGCTCGAGCTGGTATGGACGGAAGCCACCCACGCTCGTGAGTTATATGGGGATGAGGTTGAACGCGAGCTAATGGAGCGAGACTTAATGATTCGAGAGTTGAAGAAAAATTTAGACGGGTCCATTAATCGCATGAAGTCATTCCACGACAAGGGGCGAAGCGAAGAAAGTTTTGTTTTTTTATTTGAAGCTGCGACCCTTTCGGCAACGCACGGTCACGTAAAGGACCGCATCCAAACTCGGGGTCCGTTACTATGGGCCTTATCAAGTGCTTAAGCGAGTCGGCAAGGTGGCTTATCGGCTCGAGCTGCCGGAAGAATCACAAATCCACACGATGATCCATGTTTCGCAAGTAAAGAGGAGTTTCGACGGGACGCACAAGTGACCGACTACCCGCAACAGCGCCGGATGGGCAAATCATCGTTAGCCCAAGTCGAGCATTAAGCTATCGTGAAGTGAAGAAGGCCGGACGTTTCTTTTGGGAAGTGTTAGTCGAATGGGAGGATTTTCCGGAGGAAGAAGCGACAGGGGAGAACTTAAGTGAGATTCGCGAGCGATTTTCGTCTTTCATCCTTGAGGACAAGGAAACACTTGAAGGGGACGGGAATGATGAAGATGTGGTTAGAAGACTAAAAAACGCGTCAAGTCGGGCATATCATGCGCGCAAGAGATTGGCTCGGCGGGCCGCCGAGGCTAATGCGATGGACACAGGTGGTGGCGTGCGGGGCGACACACGCGAAGAGGACGCCCACCAACTAGCCACGAACATCATGGGTGTGGGCGGACACGCGGGAACGTACGAACACGCGCATGAAGGTGGATACCCGCAAGAGCAGTGCGAGGTTATCGCGCGCTGGACACGGATACGAGGAATGGGTGGCTAGGGTTGATTGACGGCCAAGTCAAGGAATTCTTTTAGAAGTTCCATGACTTAGTTTTCCACATGCTTTATTATTATTCCTAGATTGTTTAGGAGTGCACTAGTTTGGATATTTTAGAGCATGGATACAAATTCAACCCAAAAAATCTAATCATTTTTAACTCAATACACACAACATCAACCTTAATTCACTATTCATCAACTCACATAATTTTAACTAACCATCACATCATATCTTCTCTCTCCTACTTTTACATCAATTTAATTAATTATTTTATTTTAAATATTATTTTATATACCCACTAACAACTAACCATACCAACTTTTTCAAATTTAACCAACCTAAACCAAAAATCCAATCAAAACAAAAACTTTTTATATCCAAACATGCTCTTAGGATTCTAGTTATTTACTTTCCTTAGGATCAGAAACTTATTTCGATTAGGACTAGATTAAGTTGTTCGCTTTAAATACTCATGTTACTAGGGTATTTTTCATCATCGTTTATATTAATAAAAACCGAACTTTTGTTCAAACTTCTTGCGTTAGATTTCTCTTCGAATTTTCGCATAAAACCCTTGTGCCGAAAAGGGCGTTTCACCGCATCGTTCGACACAAGTCCGAGTTTGGCAAGGACAATCCATCCTAGCTGTCTCAAATCGACGTAAAGGCAAGGAAACCTCCGAGAACTTCACGTCATTCGCAGAGAAAGGGCCATTCGAGGCAAACCAAGCTATCGGGACATGTGATCTTCATCACTGCCACCCGGCTGAGCCCGACCAAACTTTTGTCTGGCGACTTTCGCCGGTCAAACCCAACCTTTTCCGTCCAACCTCAGGTTCACAAATAGCTTACTTTTACCTGGACCTAATGAGCCACAAGCTAGGAATTTAAGTAACCTAGGGCCAAGGTCTAAGTTCTCCTTTTTCTTCTCTTTTCTCAAATTTAAACACAACCTTTTTAAGGCCAAACAAACTGATTTAAAGACTCTGAAGTTAACACATTTTCAGCATGAACACGCATTAACAATGCTCAGCAACTTAAGGCAAAAACACGGCCAAAACAACACAACAAGCCTCTCTTTTTCTCTTCAAATTTACTGATTCCTAACCTTGCATTTTAACTTTTTCAAAAGTGAAACCTAAGCTCAAAACTCACCTAAATTCGGCTATAACATTGGTAAGGTTCAGCTAAAATACCTTCTTCAGGTATTAAACAAATGGAAGAGAAGGGCTCGGGTCTAGGGGAAGGGCTCGGCTCTTGGGGTTGCTTGCTTTGTTGAAATGGCTCGGCTTTTGCTGGGCTAGGCTCAAACGAGGCTGGTTGCTCGGATAATAGCTCAGGTTGCACTCAGCCCAGTGGTTGCTGGAATGCGCTGGCCCTCGGGTCTCCTCAGCAGGTGTGTGTGCTGTGCATGCGCACGAACGCCGGTGAATGCTCTTGGGTGACTGCGGAACTGCTCGGCTGAGGGACTTTTGCTGGGGAAAAACGGATGTTTTTGGGGAGCTTTGGAGCGTCAAATGAGGTGGCGGCTGGTGAATGAGGGGGCATAAATAGGGTGGAGGTTAGGGCTGAAATTTGAAATGGAGGGAGAGGGGAGTTGAGCCTATTTTCATGGAGGTGGTTGCTAGGGCTTCTTGGACTTGGTCTCATGGCTGGCTTGAGGTTACTCGTGGCTGGCGGCTGGGAGTAAGTGAGGGCCGAGAGGGGGTTTTGTTGGTACTGTCACCTCTTAGTCTCAAGGGGTTGGTTAGGTAGATACTTGGACATGGTCTAGGGTGCATTGAGCTAAAAATTCAAATGCACTATGGGCGGTTATATCACAGGTGGCCGGGTCTTAGGGTTGTGCTTGGCTAGTTGGTTGAACAAAATTTCACATTCTTGAATTCTTGCCTTATGAAATAGAAATGGCCGAGCCTTTACATTTCGCATACTTATAAATTCTTTGCATGAAAATGGCCAAGAACACTTAAGCCTAGGAGAGTGTTTGACCGAGTCTTAGCTTAGGTTTTTCTATCAGCAAAGTACTTGATTAAAAGACGGATTTATTCAAGTATGAGTGACATCGTAATACCACAGTTCGTTAGGGCGTGCTTGGATGCAAATATATCCGCTCAAAGCGAGTTTATTTGGTTAAGCAAAGTTAATTTTGAAAAATGTGGTATGGTTAGTTGTTAGTGGATTTTGAATTTATATTAAAATAATATTTAAAATACAATAATTAAAGTTGATGTGATGTGTAAGAATGATTGAGTGGTATTATTTAATTATATTGATACTATTGAAGATAGTGGAGTTGGGTTAAAGTTGAGTTAGATTTTGAATATAAATTGAGTTATTTTATAAACAAACACACCCTTAGTTCTCCGATTAACTGAAAGTAACCTAAACGTGCAGATACATGCTCATCGTTCTCCATTGGCTGCCATGACTTTCTCCTCAAATGGGATGTATATAGCGACAGCATCTGAACAGGGAACCATAATCAGAGTTCATTTAATTTCAGAACCAACTAAGGTGAAGCTTGAAAGAGTCATCTCTTCTCATGTGAAACATGATTGCTTTCTTAGTGTTTTTTTTCCCTACAATGAAAGAATGGGCTAGTATGCATTTTAAAAATTCCTTTCAGGAGACATCAATAATGTGTTTTATGTTACTGTGAGCCTTGTAGCTCTAGTGGCATCACTTACCCTTTTACAAGGGTGATAAAAAGGGTTCAAACCCTTGGATCTTTTGTTTTACAACAACTGATGCCATTAAAGATATCTTTATTTTTTATTTGGTTTCTTCCATTTAATTTTGCTTTCTGATTTTAGCCATTCGGTTCTTGATCATAGAGATCTTTTAATACCCAATTGATAAGTTTCATTAACGCTTAGATTTTGATTTCACATTCTGTCCTACTCGGGATTTGTCTGAGATTTTGATATAACTACAGAACATTTGCACCTATTGGATAGACCTTGCTTT